TATCTGTTGCCGTTTGCAGCCTGACACTCCAGAATAGCTCAATACAGTCTCAATAAAAGGAAATACATTTAAATTCAACTCCGCAGGCATCAAAAGCACATTTTCCTCTCTTCCTCCCCTCATTCGCCACCCACATACTGGGGCAGCTAATTATAGCCGCTCTAGTCACACCTAACGAGCTGAATCAGTGCGGGCACTGAATCAATGTGGGAGAGAGCCATTCTATTAAGCACTTTATAAAGAAAAAGGTGTGTGAACATAGTCTGTGCAGTGCACAGATGGAGACCTATATGCAAAGAGAGGATTTGAAGTACACCTTGCCAGGCCTGCTACCGAATAACAGTTAATCTGTAGTTGTAGGTGGTCATTTGAGAAGCAGCAAGCTAATTGAAAATTTCCTGTCCTCTTAGTATTCCAAAAAAGTTAAAAAACAAACCATTGGACTTTGTTTTCCAAAATGTTTTGCTTCCCATCCTGGAAGTTTTTTCAATTCAAAATGAACAAAGTAACTCTGCAAGCTCATTAGTATAAAGTAAATTTACTTAGTAGGTAAAATAGCCTGTTGTTTGCAGTGCAGGATTGATCTACTGTTTGCACAGCATGTGTTAAAAACTACCAGAGCTTTAAAAAAGAAGAATGGGCTTAAAGGTCCATTGTGTATTGTATTTTTTTTTTTCTCCTAAATTCGGGGTTAATATTTTTTATAGTTCTATAGTGGCTGCTTGTGGTGCAATTTAGAATGATATTAAGAACCAACTCAACTTAGGGCTGGGCCTGCTGGCCTTAAGATCTTTTCACAATATTTCCTATTGTGATAAAGATAAAATCGACAAAAAAAAACAAAACATAATCATTAATTTTTCTGTAACTGCATAGTTGTCAATGTATGACACAGCCGCCCAGCAATCGCTAACACTTTAAAAAATATATACACATTGAAAATATGCTTCTTCAGGACACCAGTTACATAAAGAACCGTGATTTATTTCAATCATATTCTTCAAATTTGCCAATGCCCCAATGGAAAAAAAAATGAAAGAAGAAAAATATAAAAAATAAAAATGACTATTCACCAGTTTTTTTATTATCACTTATTCTGATTTATTGTTTAGAGGATACATCAAAATTGTAATCTTGTCTAGAAATGTATAACGTTAAATGCCCACTCCTACATTAAAGTCGTAGGGAAGTCCATATTTAAATGTGAAATCATGCTGACTTAAACATGTATATAAATATACTCTTTATCAGATGATATTGTCCCAAAATTTAGAAAATTTCTATTTAAAATAAAAATCCTCTCTTAAAATCTGTGTTTTTTCTCTCGTTATTTTATGCAGACCAGTTACCGGTAGTTATATGTCAGCTTGTACACCTATATTCGGCCAATCACATATCAACAGTCAATATGTGTACAATAAGTGTTGTACTTCACCTGGGGCCCACCCAGATAATGTTGCTTTTTAATGTGGCCTATTGTTGTGTCGTTATGCCATTGCCTACTAGCACTAAGTTGCTAACTGGTTAGCAAGATGCTTCCGACAAACCGGCCACAATAAAACTTGCTTGCGAACCTTCCGCCACAACAAACACTCTTGACAAATGACCAATCACATTCACTTTATTCACTAGTGTAAAGACATGCACTACTCGGAAGAATTCGCAAATGCAATGGTTGGAACAGGCGTTTCCCTACGAATTTAAACGCAGAAACACTATTTCCGATTGATCTCTTGAAGCTTGACTGAGGTGACTCCAACAGAAAAACAGAAATTTATAAACAGATTCTTCCAAGAGAAAATTGGAATCATGGAGACTTAAACAAATTTGCGTATCAGATGTGGACATGACAATATATCGATTTAAACTGATATAACATAAATGATTGATGCGGCAAAATAAATAATCAATCCAAATCGTAATTTCTAGGATACGCTAACTCTGGCGTTACCGTGACAGAATGTTAATGGGTGATGTATTTCTATTGTCTTCTTATTGAAAAGTATCCAATTTGAGTTTTGATATAGATGCACATTTTTAAGGTTAGATGGGCATATGATAATCCATCATATCGATCGCCAAATTTAAATCTTTGTGATATCAGAAAAATTGTATCATCATTCAGACAAATCAATACCATACTGTATTGTGATAAAACTGATGTTTACAGCCCTAGTATCAGACCAGTCAGCCTTTCTAGCGAGTAGCTACAAATCTTTTACTAATTTTAATTAAATTTAATACTAAATATTGCAGATATTATCTCTTATATCCCTGAAGGTATAAATGAAATAAAAGATTTATTCTTGATTTTACACGTTCATTAGCATACATAACAGCTGAATGACAATTTGTTATAGCTAGCCGTGTTTCTCATCAGATTGATGCTGAAGCATGAGTTTATATTTGCATAAATATACATTGTATTTTTTATTTATTAATGGTTTATTAATGGCACTGCTGCTGCTTTGAGACTGAGCAGTGCCACTAAGTGACCCCCACACTGCATTCTGCTTTCCCCTCCAAAGGGACCTGGCACAGTAAGTGCAAACACAAATAATTTGACTCCTGTCTTGGGGACGATTTTTGCCGCGCTGGCGACGTTGTTGCAGACTTCAGATGAAATTGTTGGATAGCTTGACCCTAACGGGGGTTATTTGTTATTGCCAAAATATTCTCTCTCTCTTGCACTTTTCTGTTTGAAAGATATTTTGTTACGGATAATGCAGAGAAGGAAGACTTCAGGATATTTTAATAGGCTTTAATTTGAGTTTTTTATGTGAGGTTCAGCCTCTAAATGTTCTTTTGTTCCCTTTCTTCTGTCCTTCACTCATGTAGTTCTGGGTTATCTCTATCTCTCACATGATCCTTACCACCTCACTCTCTGCAATGCAGTTTCACCCCGATCAATCCACTTGGAGGCTTGCCTTAGAGAGGAAATGAGAGAAAAGATCTATGGGTTAAGACAAAGGAGGAGTGAGAGTCAGAGGTTATATAGTGTCATGCAAAAGCACTCATTTACTCTTTTATTCTTTATAAATGTAGTGCCTCCTGTATTCCCATATTTTCTTAATAGCATGCAGCTGTTAAATGACAAGTCAGAGGTTTTTAAAGAACATTAAGAGAGAGAAGACTTCAGGAAGACCAAGGAACACAGCAGACAGGTTCAGGGACAAGTTCAGAGCAAGGTTAGGTTACTGAAAAATGTCCCAGGTGGGTTCAATTCATTACCTAAAAATGGAAAAAGGAAGGGACAGATCTAAATCCTCTAAAAATCTAAATTCTCAATTGCAATTTTTGTTCAAAAATAAAAGACCATTTATTTTTTTGGCAAAGCCCTTTAACAAAATGAAGATTACCCAGAGAAAATGTTAATGAAAACCATAAAACAGAACATTAAAAGTTATCTTTTTATAATTTTTCACAACCCATCTAGGGATCAAAGCAAATATGTAGGAGAACATGCCATCCTTATGTTAGGCTAAAGTCAAACATTTTGGTTTACATGCTGACACTGACACTGCACTTTATCTAAACACACCGACCCTATGGTAAAACATGGTGATGCTGGCATCATGCTGTGGGGCTTTGCTTAAAGGAATCCGGACAGATTTTATGGAAACATAGATGAAGCTACATGCAGTGTAGTCCTCAACTGTTTGAGGCTGCAAAGCTCTTGTAACGAAAGCAGAGGTTTATTTTCCAGCAGGACCGCAACCTGAAACATAGAGTTGAAGTGTTTAGATCAAATCCCAGCCACCAAGTTTCAGACTATAATCTGTTTCATTATTGAAGCACTAATTAGTGTTTGTCTGTCACATAAAACCAAACAATACATAAACGTTTGTGACTCTAACATGTTTTAACTTTACATCGGAGGGAGAATAGATGAAAAAATACTTTACTTTAGTGGCTGCTGTTATTAGGTGATCCTGGGGGCTCATTCTGGTTGAGAGATCCCATTGATTCTGCCTCACAGCTTCTGTGCCCTTGACAATCAGGAGATACAGGATGAAAAAAAAAAACGTGTTCTGTTTTCAAGCCAATATCCCAACGTGACTCAACTTAGCTGAAAGTAAATGTGTGTCTAGGAGAAGGATTGAGTGGTAATGATTGAGGGAATGAGGGCTCATGTGGTAGATGGATGGAGATAGATGACAGAACTGGCAGACTCTACGTAGAGGAGAGAAGGACACTGGTGTCATCCCATCTGTTTTTCTTTTCCTATGCGTCATCTCCATTTATTTTGTCTGATATTATTCCCCACAGATAACAAACACTCCTCAGTCTGTGTCTGGTATAAAATCAAATATATTCACTGTTGGTCTATGTGACACACATGAGCTCCCCCCCCCTTTCCTTCCTCCATTCATGTACATTTACAAACCGCATCAGCACCGACGTGCTGCTGATGTTGGAGTCGAGTCAGTTGGCTGAGGAACTTTCTGGAAGCATCGTTCTCATCTAAATTATTCACATATTCTCCTCTGGCTGCATTACAATGCAGGGATGGTGCATGTGGATTGAGCAGGAAGGAGGGAAGCGTGTTACAGCAGCCAGTTATGACTGCGTATCTGTGTGTGCGTGTGATTGAGGGCACTGTAATGTGATGTCTTCACTACGTGCACTTAGAGAGCGCAGTAAACACTGTCTATGTGTCTAATGTGCAGCACTTATCCTCCGATGGGTATGGAGCATTAATGTGTTCCTTCGGCTGAGGCTTCAGCCTGCACATTTGGTTGGAAATCTGACACTGTTTACCAAACAGGAAGGTTATTAATACTTTACCAACCAGAGGCCTTAGGCACATCTTTGTTCCTTCCTTGACAAAAAAAAAAGAAATATTTTTCACATGATCAAATATTAACACTGAGGCATACTGCATTATTTATTACCATTTTGAATGTCAGTGTGTAGGCATGTTTGCTAGAAAAGCTAGCACTATTGTTTAAAGAAACATACAGTTTTGCAGCATCTTAAATGTTTGTTTGCTCTTACAGCAAAAGCCCACCCAGCAATCCCTGGCCTCCTCCCTGTGCAGAGAGTCCCACTGGAAGTGCCTCCTCCTGACCCTCCTCATGTATGGTTGCTTCGCCACGCTGGCCTGGTGCGCTATCTGTCGGGTGCCCGTCCTCGGCTCCGCCCCCTCCATACCTCTCGGTGCCGATGATGACGCCACATCTGCAGCCTACTACAATGATATGGTTCACTGGGAGAGTCCATGCTCGAGCGGATATGTCTACATCCCCCTGGCCTTTCTGGCAATGCTTTATGTGGTTTATCTGGTGGAGTGCTGGCACTGCTTCTCTAAGACGGCCATGTTGGCTCATGCTGAATTCCAGGTATTTTTCATATTCTGCTGTGTTGTTCATGGCTCTGCCCTTGGTCAGTACTCTATGGGTTTCGGTAAGGAAGGGTTTTCATGATACTAATATTCAAAACTCAATATCGATACCCAGGAAAATATTTGATCATTTTTTTTCTGCATCATTGTGATCAAAAGTGGCAATTAATTAAAGGCATAACAAAAAAAAAAACTTCCTCAAAGAGTTAAGGGGGGAAAAATGCCTTATAGAGAAAATGACTTGACATGATTCTGTTTTTTTTTTTTTGCTCTAATGAAAAAAAGAACTGCATATTGAAATAATTTCGTTGCTCTTTGCAAAAAAAAAAACACTTTTCACTATGACATAATGACTTAATCCTCTGCATTGTTATTTTTGTATGCAAACTGTAGTTTATTGTTACTGCTTGTCTGTTAATTTTTTTCAGGCAGTTGTCATAGTTTTACCATGCCAGTTGCTGATAGTAAACTAGATTTCCTTTGTTAAACAATGGCATTAACTGATTTGGTCTGTCAGGAAGTGTACGAGCGGGTGCAGAGACTCCAGCAGGCCACTCCATGCATCTGGTGGAAGGCCATCAGCTATCACTACGTCAGGAGAACCAGACAGGTGACCAGATACCGCAATGGAGATGCATACACAACCACACAGGTGAGGGCACCCTCTCTTTCCTCATTGCTCTTCTGTCTAAAAGACAAATTTAAATCTGAAAATATGCACACACAAAAAATCTAAATTGCATTTCTCCTCTGATTATGTTTCAATGAAATAGTGTCACTCAGCTGTCAGGAGGTGAGACAGCATTTAGTGGGAGAAGCAGTATCTGCCACATCTCATTAGGGCTGAAATGACTTATCTGATAAATAGTGATTAATTGATTATTCAAGTAATCGCCAACTAATTTAGCAAAACATCGTTAACTGGGGTATAAAGACTCTAAAACCTGTCATCAGCAGTAATTAAAATGAAACTAATGAAGATAATGAAGATGCCTGTAAATGTGCTCTGTCCAGAACCAAAGTAGATTGATTTTAGTTTCACTTGGCTCAAACTTTTAAAAAGTTTATTAAGAAGATTCTGCAACCCGATTACTGACAGATTAATTAGAAAAAAAGCATACAGATTTGTCATTTGGCACATTATTTAAGCACAATCAGCCACTAGAGTAGCTCTGGCAATCTGCGTAAATCCTACCCCCAAACACCAGTCGTCATTTAGATGTTGGTTTTTGGTTAAATCTGGTCCAGAAATTGTTGTTGGACTAAAGTGGGACAAATTCAAACCGACCAAACACGGCCATATTTTCAACAGCTATTTCTGGACTTCAAGACTATGACAGACCGACAAGATTTAGCCTAAAAACCAATGTCTAAATGACGTCTGGTGTCTGGCGGATAAGTAGTGTTTCTCCCTTCGCCAGGTTCTACTGTCTCCATGGTAACCACTTTCTGTACAGGTCAATAGCTAATTAAGAAGGTTTTGAGTGTTGTGAAGAACAGATCTAGGACACAGGACTTACAGGTCAGCTACCACCATGCTCTATCAGCAGAATCTCCTAGTCCGATCTGAGCATCAATAAGCACCAGGTGCTGTATATTGACCTAAAAAATAATTTAACGCATCTTAAATAAAGCTTTGGTCAAAACGGACATAGTGTTAACCTAGTAAACTAGCCCCATTCGCCAGCGTTCAAAATCCTTTTCTGCCTGCGAGTTGGTTTAGCCTCGATCAATGCCCCAGGCCCTAAATTTGGCGGGCCAATCACAACACAGAGCTGTGTTTTGAATGTCTGGATGCAAAGCGCGCAGGGTTTTTAGGCTGTGACGACAAAGCTGCACGACACAGTAGCATGCACTACAGCAGCAGCAGCAGCTTTCAATGGAGCGCTCCATTGAAAGTTAAAAGTTCTCTTTTCTGTTGCTGTTGTTCAATAAAAGTAAGTTTTAAGATAATTTGAGGCCAGAATATTATACTTGATAGTGTCACTATATGGTCCATTTACCGATTTAATGCGTAAAGAGAAAAAACTATTTCCGAAGTTGAGAGGACCGTGGCAACCAGTGGAGCTCCAAAGCTAACGGCAGCCAGGGCTAACCGCAGCTGGCTATGATGGGGATTTTTCACTCAGCTTTGGAATCAGTTTTGGAAGGATTAGACTTCGGGTTTTCGTTGAAACGTGAGCAGGAAGAGGCTTTACGCTCATTCATTTTTGAGAAAGACGTATTTGCCTTTTTACCGACAGGCTGTTTGTTTACACTCCTCCATTAGCTTTCTGTCGTGCTTCCTATGTCACAGTCAGTTGCGCTTGTTGGTCAAAGCGTTGGCCAATAGGCACAAACATGGTTTGAAGAACAACGGGTTGTTCTCATCAACAATCTTCCGATGAATTCATCTGGGCCAAACTAAATTACACATTTAATCTCCCATTTAGTCTGGTTAACAAGGCTAACATAGTGTTGCTTTTAAAAAAAATAAAAAAGGTTAATAGAAATCACTATTTAGCACAAAATTCTAGCTCATTCTGCTCAAATACAATTTGCTTTTACTGAAAGAAGTTGAGGAAGCAAATAGGGGATCCCCTTTTTTTCTTTTTTTGAATTTTAAATGATAAAATGAATAAAGAAAAACACAATGGAAAAGCAGTTCTTTCTTAACTTTGACTTTTACCTCTCATTTTTAGGTCTATCATGAGCGAGTTAACACTCACGCCTCCAGTTCAGAGTTTGACTACGCCCGCTATGGCGTCAAAGATGTGTCAAAAGAGCTGTTGGACCTGGAGCAGCACCCTGCGGTTCGCCTCCGCTTCACTAAATGTTTCAGGTACCACAGACTTTTTAGATACTAACAAATCAGCTCCGTTGTTGTTTAAATTTGAAATTAGTTCTTTAATTAAACTGAGCTTCTCTTGATTTTTGTTGTAATGCATAAACTTTCTGTTCTTTAGCTTTTCCAGTGCTCGTGCTGAAGCTGCTTACCTCACTCAGGTAAGCAGAACCAGACTGGCATGCATGTTAAAAAAAATACTCTCCTTTTGACTTAGTTATGTTGGTCTATAACATCTCAACCTAAAATATTTTGTGCTTTTAAATTCATGTTAACGGTGAACGCTTGTAACTCGCTGCATTTATTTCTTACGCAACTGGATATCACATATGTGACCCACAAATGCACAGGACAAGATCCACAGATGCACATCCACACATGCACAGGACAAGATCCACACATGCACATCCACACATGCACAGGACAAGATCCACACATGCACAGGACTAGATCCACACATACACAGGACTAGATTCACACTTGCACAGAACAAGATCCACACATGCACATGACGAGATCCACACATGCACATGACTAGATCCACACATGCACAGGACTAGATTCACACATGCACAGAACAAGATCCACACATGCACATGACGAGATCCACACATGCACTTGACGAGATCCACACATGCACAAGACTAGATCCGCACATGCACAGGACTAGATCCGCACATGCACAGGACTAGATCTACACCTGCACAGGATAAGATCCAGACATAGTAGTTTATAAATTAAGATATAATTTTCTATGCATCACAAATCCTTTCGTGAATCTTGTGAATATGTAAATGTTATGTGCTTGTTTTAATCCTTATGCATGTGTGGATTGTGCTGTGCATATATGGATCACAAATGTGAGTTTATAAATATTGCTCCATTACTGTAAGATTTAGTTTGTTTTTTAATTTAGTAGGATAACTTATAACTACTTTATGTTACTATATGAAACTTTGGAGACTGTCATCGTAATTCATAAAGGAGTGTAGGATATTTATGTGATTAAAAACTCAGATTTTCTAACCAACATTATTTTTTTTTTCATTTCCCTTTGATTCCAAGCGAGCACGGTTCTTCGGTGAAAATGAGGGGCTCGATGACTATATGGAGGCCCGGGAGGGGATGCATCTAAAAAACGTGGATTTCAGAGAGCACATCCTAGCTTTCCCAGATCCTGCTCATCAGCCTTGGTTTTCAAGGCACCGGGTGTTCTGGCTGGCTTCAGCTTTCCTCCTCTCATGGCCACTTCGCGTCGTTTCGGAATACCGCACAGCATATGTGCACTACCATGTGGAGAAACTGTTCGGTGAGGATGAGGACAGCGGTGGAGGTGGGGGAGTTGTTGGTGGAGGGCAGGGTGGAGGAGGAAGAGGGGACACAGTGGAAGGAGCGACTGAGAATGGAATCCATCCAGGAGGACTTGGGATTGGACTGAATGGGACAAGCTACCGAGCTATCTCTCGTGTCAACACAGTGGACATGACAGAGCTGGAGTGGCACATCCGTTGTAACCAACAAATGGTTCCAAGCTACTCTGAGGCTCTTCTTATGGATTTGGACTCCAGTGGAAGCACAAATCCCACAGCCTCAACGCCCATCTCTGGACCTCCGGGGATCACTCCCACCCAGGGGCCTCATCAGCCACCTCTGGCTCTGCCTGTGCTGTTCAACTCTGCTTACCTGCTGCAGAGCTGCCCCAGATGCAGGAGAACCACATCGAGCTCCAGTCTTCCCTCCCGGTTAAGGGCTCCAATGGGAACCACGGCCCTCCTGAACGCTACTGTGGCTGGGATCCGTGCAGCAGGGCCGGGAAGTGGAGGGGTAGGAGGAAGACTGGTGCTCAGCCGCAGCGGATTCTCTTTGGGCAGACTGGGAGGTGGGCGACAGAACAGCTTGTTTCACTCAAGAAGCATTGGAGGAGGACTGGCAGGCAGCAGGGAAGACGGAGGAGGGAGTGGGGGTGGAGGAGGCAGTGGGGCTGGAGGTGGAGGGTCTGGGGGATTTTTAGGAATAGGCTCTAGACAGAACAATGAAGAGACCAGGGGGGTCCTCGAAGGAGAAGGAGAGGAGGAGGAGGAAGAAGAAGAGGTGAGAAGAAGGGAAAGCGGGGGAAGAGAGAGAGACGAGGAGGCAGAGCAGGGAGGAGGGGGTGGAGGAGAGGGCAGGGAGGGTGACAGGGATCGACCTCCTTCCTACCAGGACGCTTTCTTCTTTCCTGTCCTTATAATACATGGAGAGGAGAGCTGCCACGCCGGAGATGACATGCGAGACTGAGAAGAAAATGAGCGGTTTGAGCAGGAGCTGAAAGAAGACACTGAGCACACAGGAAGGAGTATGATCCAACAACAAAGACAGATACTGAGAATAACAGATGCTTGAATCTAAAGCAGGTGGAAGCAGAGGTCCAGAAGAGTGAGGTTAAAAAGACAAGATAGGGCGAAAAATTAGAGGGGGAATGGACACACACAGTGCATTCTGTCAGCCATCAGTAAACCCATAAGTTCGGATTAGAGTCGATGCAGAGTGCAGACACATGATAAAATCAAGTGCAACTAAATCCTTGAAATAGCATGCTTTAGTGAAAGAAGGTAATAGTGACAGAGAGCTTAGAAATGTGTGTTTCCAGATATATCTATGCAGCAGCTGGAGTAGGAGGGCTAAACGCTCTAAAGATAGCCACTTTAAGAGCAGTTAAAACACAATAGAGTATAATCTCTTTTGAAAGATTTTGTTAGAAGAATTGGGAATGTATCTCTGAGGGGCTGAAACTATTGGTTAAACAATCATTTAGATACAATTAGATAGCAAACTGCATTGGGAAAATGAGTAGATAGAAAAATGCATGGCAAATTAATAAATTCTTACTATTTTAAAGCTATAAGCCAGCATATTCCAGTTCAAATGTTCAGTCAAATCCCTTTTTATGACTATGAGCAGCACCTGACCAGCTCCTCTTACAGTAATGAATGCCAATGAAAGACAATATACATTAATTTCCTCATGTCTCGGCATGCTGTCTTACTTCACCATTAGCTTCCTGACCACTCAGTGCATTACTGCTTTGGAGGAGGGCGGTTTAAAGATCCATAAAATGCGGAGCAGTCGTTGCCTATTTGAATCAACCCCCTATTTCCTCTGGCCACCTTTTACACTTCTGTGATGCTTTTACTCTCTCATTCACCCCTAAAAAACAAAAACTTCTAAGAGATAAGTTTAGTTTACTTAAAAGGAATATGTCAAAATTTACATTTCTAATTTTACACCATTTTTATGTTGTGTTCAAGCTAGTAGCTAAATGCAGCTGGAAGTTTCTGAACACGTATAATGTCACGTTAGGATACCAAGCAGAATGGAACCCTACCCAGGGAATTAAAAGCCCTTTCTGGTAAACTCCAGCCTCACTAATTACTCGTCATTTATCACTGCAATTATATAATGGAAAAGATGGGCCATGTATTGTTTGTGTTTTTATTTTGTTCTGGCAGAATTCAGGTAAATTGAAAAGAGTTCCCAAAAAGTTAAAAAAGTCAAAAAAACTAACCACTGGACTTTGTTTCCTAGTTTGAAGACGTTTCGCTTCCCATTCAGGAAGCTAATGGTCTGAAGTAGCATAGAATTCCAAGCTTTATAAAGCAGCCCAACAAAGCCTTGTTATGGCTTAGAAAACATGCAAAATGAACCAAACGGACAGGTCCACCCTTTAATAATGGGGAGTCGTTGATGTCTTTGTTAGCCTGCAAAACGTGACACGGGCCTATGCCTCTGAAAAGGGTTTAGTTAGGATCATTGTTTGCCTGGCTGAACAGGCGAGATGTTTTGGTCCCCTGCATGGCGATGAGGATTGAGATGATAGCAAGAAGAAATCAACTCTATCGCTGCGTTGGCGGCTTTTAAGAGCTGAAACCTTTTAAGAGCTGAGGCCACCCCCTCTGTTTAAGGATGTTTTTTTCTTTCTTAACATAAATGGCATTCTTCACACCCCTTTCAAAGCACCCGTTTTCTCTGTCCAAAATTTGAACAGTCTGCTCCTCAAAAGAGTGTCCTCTGTCCATAAGGTGTAGATGGACAGCCGAGTCTTGTCCAGAGAAGGTATCCTGTCTGTGTTAAGCCATGCATCTGTGGAGAGGTTGTTTGGTTTCTCCAATATAACAAACAAAGACCCTAACGACTCCCTGTTCAGAGGCATAGGCCTGTATCGGGTTTGCAGGCTAACAAAGACCTCAACGACTCACCATTAGAAAGGGATGGATCTGTCCATTTAGTTCAATTTGCATGTTTTCTAAGTCATAAGGCTTTGTTGGGCTACTCTATAAAGCTTAGAAATTCACCACTAATCCAAACATTTTGAATAAAAAAAAAAAAAAAAGCTTCCTGGATGGGAAGCGAAACACCTTCAAACTTAGAAAACAAAGTCTATTGGTTTGTTTTTAAACTTTTCTTTTAATGGGTATGACCTGGATAACTGAGAATCTTCATCAGCATATTGAAAAGTGTTACTCCAGTTCTGCCCAGTTTAAAATATGGGGCAGTAAATGGAAGAATCTGTAATCTTTAAAGCTGTGATTGTTGCACTTCACCATCAGTCAAAACTTCCTTGGCACCATTCAAAAGCCATGACTTATTTTACTGTTTGTATTAATACAATTTGTAGTTGTTGCCATAAAATACCACTTTAAACTAATGTTGCATAGGTTTTAGTAAGAGGGTAAATTGTAAAACAGTCTTTAACCCTTTTGCCACTGAGGAGAGAACAAGTAATTGCAGTAATTATCAGACTGTAAGGCAGGAGGAATGTTTAATCTTCATAGCCTGGTTTGCATGTATTGAAAGAAGATACATGAATAATAATTTAAAAGAACACTATATAGAGTTTTCTTGCTTGATGCTGCTATCACACAATCACCTTGGGTGATCAGACTGTTGACTCCCTTACAGCTATCTGTTATAGCAAAGACAAACATTGTGGTTCTCATTATCCACTTCCTTACATAAAGTAAGGTTTTTATTCCATCCAAAGGCACTTGGCATCTAAAGTCTGCTCTCTGTATCAGGGTGCACAGCCACATTATTTTTGCTCCTGACAGCATATTAATATCCCAGATATGAACACGACATAAGTGTATTTAAAAAAGTGGGCTGATTTTTATCAGAAATTTATGTTTTAGTCACCCACCTGCCTTAAAAACCAATAGAAAACATGATTGTAATTTATTAATTTTATTATTAGCCGTTTCCACATAAACTAATTAAATGAAGCTTTTAAGGCTCTTTGTGCTTCAAGCAGAAAAACATATTTTCGGTCTCTCTGTTGTTATGCCTTCTTTTATTTTTCTTCTTTTTTATATTTTTAAAAATAGATCAGAGCTGCTGAGATTAGATGTCATCTCCACTTATTCCACATGTCCAATTTCCCAAAGGTTCATATTTAATGAAATTCACATTTCCTCCTTTTTTTTTTTTACTTTTGTACATTTAACAAAATAATAGTTATGGATTGTTTAAAAAAAAATTAAAAAAAGTAATTATGTTTTAATTGTCGTTAAAATATTACTCTGATAAATATAAATTTTTCCTATTTAATCTACTAGGATATGTTGCATTTTTCAACACATATCTGTATAACTTGAGCTCTTGTTAGCTTGTTATATATTTAGCCTTTCAATTTCTCTACCTACGACATGCTGAACTCCATGGGAAGCCGAGTTAAAACTTGAATTCTTAATTTAAAAAAAAAGAATACAGTACATGGATAAAAAATAAATAAAATAAAGAATAACCCCTCAAGTTTTATACTGATCATTTTCAGCTCTGTAGGAAAATGCTTTGGTTAGATTAAACCAAGCTGCTACCTCCTCCTACTTCTGGAGAAGCATCTTTTCTGACTATTTCCTTATAGTGAAATGTGGAAAGACTTTGCAGGCATAGAAATGCATGGAAACACACACTACCAGTAAGGTAGCATATTATAGCAAAAATCAGCAAAGATATCCAGCAGTAGTACTCCAGTGGGATTCAGCACCTATACAAGGACGCAGACAGGAATCCTGAGGGATTCAGTGATTTGTCCTATTTTCTGAGTTTGTTTCCTACACTGGAAAAACGATCTAGAAATAAAAACAAAAACATTTCTTAAATAAAGTGTATTTACCTTAGTAGGTAAATGAGATAGTTTTCCAATGGAATGAGTATTTTGAATCTTAAAAAAAGATTATTAGATAACATGCACTTGAAATAAGACAATTCAATTGCATTTTTATTATTTTAAGTGTAAATTGTCTTGTTCCATTGGAAAAAAATGTCTCTTTTACCTCCTTAATCCAAGAACAAATGCATCTATTTTAAGAAAAAATGGCTTATCTAGATTTCGATTTTTTTTCCCAGCGTGGAATATGAACCTAGGAAAGGCCGTCAGCACATACCCCTCTGCCATCTGTGCTTTATTTGTATTTATTTTATAAAGCACACTAAACCTGCTAAAGTAGCAACAATTAGTTAGGTAAGCTTTTCCTCACCATTCCTGCTGCCTCTGCTTACTTTTTACACATTCCTGGAAAGCACATTGAAAACAAGCTGTGCTTTCATGTGAGGAGGACAAACAATGGAGGATATTATAAAATCTAACCTCTAAAGTTAGAGAGAAATGATCTCTTAGTGCAACTTTCTGGAAAAGTGGAGCGGAGACCAGTGGCCTGGTTAGATGTAGGGGACACATCCTGACACACTTTCTCATCCACTGAATCTGGTTCATGGATCTTCTGTAGCTTTTTTGAAAAAAACAAAACAAAAAAAAACTGAAGTGAGCGAATGAAGGGATGCTGAACTTGAGGAGAGTGACTGAAATCTAATGGCAACAAGGACAAGACTTTTCTAAGCCTCTAAAGAGCTGGAGAAGACTGAAAATGTGACATTAAAGGAAGTTATTTTTTACATTATTCACTACTTCAGTTTTTGGACTTTTGAGTCTATAATAAAGAGAAAGAACCCCTATGAAAGCACTCAACCCTCCTGCATTAATTTGTTTGGGCAATCATGTTGCTTTCACTGCTTTTGTTCACATGCAGCTGAAACCTATAAATGTAATGTACTCTTAATGCAGGAAAACATTTCCATCTGTAAATTGCTGCTCTGCATCATCCTCATATTTCGGTGATATATCAGGTCGTTGAAGTAAAACACAAATGCCTTTGTACATTTTTTTTTGTAAAAATTACTGTTACAATCCACTTCTACTTGCTGATATGTCTTAATAATTATTTGTTCATTTATGTATGTTTAGACATGAGTCTAACATTTCTTGCTGAACAATTGATCGTAGGTGTCGCTCCAGATGTGCCAAGAGAATTCTTAGCCCATGATGTCTTACACGAAACATACGCACCATCATTGCCTGTTTGCATGCTTAATCACTGCAGTAAAATAGCTAACGTGTCAGCCATTTATTTTTATTGAATGGATTCATGGCCTTTAACATGTAATCGCCCCCACAGACACCCGTAAAGCATGGCATTGTGCTGATGAGGTTACCTTTATTTCCTAGGTTGCCAAAATGTTTTGCTCAGGTTTTTCAGTTAATGCTGCATTTCTGCGTGCTCTTCTATGAAATTATCAACACGCCAAAGCAGAAAAAAAAAAAATCAAAAGTTACACAGCAAGTGCAAACACATATACGCAGGTTTTCAATAGTCTGGCCCACGTTGCAGAGTCCAAACATTAACAAGAAGAAATAAAACCACATTTAGAGAGCTAAATTATTTTTAGTATTTTGCAAAGGTGAGTACACCTCTGTATTTTTGTGAATAATTTATATCTTTTCATGGGACAATACTAAAGACAGGACATTGACATAATGCTGCAGTCAGTGTACAGCTTGTTTAAGAGTAAATTTACCTGACAATAAAAACATACAACCATTATTGTCTTAACAGCTGGAAATAAAAAGAAAGTAAAAATGTCCAGCATTGCTGGAGAGATGGGGAAGCGTCTTTTAAAGATGATTTACAAGAAAGCCAGCAGTCTTCTTTAAGACGAGCAGTCTGGGTCCATGGATAGCTGGACCCATGTCCTGTTGTCAGATGAGACCAAGATAAATGGATTTGTTTCAAATGATGTCATGGCTGAAGGTCTGAACATTCTTAGTTCAGAATCTTTACTCTCAGCTCCTAATGCAAAGCAGTGGAGGGGTGTTTGGAGTCCATATGTTACTGGACAGTTTCTAACAGCAGGAGAT